TGTCATTTCCTCCTTTCAGCGGGGAGGATGTGGGGCAGGGGCTGGCAAGGTGGCCAGACCATTACTCAGCCCGGTTCATCTTCCTGCCCCCAGCGGAGCCAGAGGTTGTGCGGCGGCCAGCCATTGGTCCTTTCCTGACTCCGGCAGGGGGGCCGTTTACCCGGCCTGTTTACCTGTCCCCTTGCCAAGCCTCCCGGGCAGCCAGAGTGGGCTGCCTTCAGCCAGTCTCTGTTCCCACCTCTTGCCCCCGTCCCACCGGGGAGGATACTCCCATGGACGGCAGCATGTGAAGAGACATTTCCTTGAATTCTCTCCCTGTCCTGACCTTCTGCTCTCGCCTCCCTTCCCCTGCCCCACCTCCCTCCTTCAGGTCCTTTGTGCAGACAGGCCTGACAGTAGACAGAGCAGGCTGCTGTCTGCAGAGATGCTGGGGGGGGGGGGGCGGGGGGGGGCATCACCCTGCCTGAACACAGCTAGAACTCAGGACCTGGACCCCAACACACATCCTTCCCAACCTCGTCTCTCACGTCCCAGCAACCATTTCTGCCTCAGCTCTTCTCCCAAGAGGAGGGGAGAAGGGGGAGAAAGCCAGAGTCGTTCCTGGCAGCTGACCATGCAGGGGAGAGGGCACTGCCAGGGCACTGCTGGTGAGGTGAGGAAACAGAGGGTTTGAGGGCCTGGAGCCTCTGCCTGCTCCTCCCCCTGCAGTCAGGGTCTGGAAGGCAGAGTGGTTAAGAAATGAGACTCAACAGCCTGACTCTGAGTTCTGAATCCCAGCTCTGAGTTCTGAATCCTTACAAGCTGTATGACCCTGGGCAGGTCTCTCTGACCTCTGATTTCATCTGCAAACTGGGAAGAGTAACAGTATTCTCTCTGGGGGACTGTGGGAAAGACTGAAAAGACGAGTACAAAGGGCATAGCACAGCACCTGGGCTGTAGGAAGGGCTCAGTAATGACAGCCCCATTGCATCCTCATTCTCATGTGTGCTCAGGGATTCCTGTCCGCCTCCCCAACTTGGGGTTTGAACCCTGGTGGATCCTGGTCCTCTGGCCCCTGGCTCCCTCTCGCAGCCCCTCCTTGCGCCTGCCCTCACCCCGTCCTCTCCTAAGGCCCGTCCTCAGAGCTCCTGCTCCATTGTCCAGGTGGGCCTTTCAGGGGCCAGCGCCCAGCCTGGCCGTGCAGAGCACAGAGAAGAGGGGAGGGCGCTGCTGTGACTCGCACAGTTGCAGGCCGGATCGGGCAGGTTGGGGGCTCAGTGAAGCGCCCGTTCCTGCCCTTCTGACACCAGGGAGCGCAGGCTTGGGCCCAGTGGCTGGGCACTGCCGGGGGTGGCCGTTCCCCGGTCTGAGGAATTCTGGATGGAGCCGCCTCCCTGGTGCCCTGCCCTGGGGACTCTGGGTGCCAGGAGCTGGCCTGGCCCCTTCTTTCAGCTTTGTTTATGCAGGATGGCAAAAATCATCTGGATTGCTAGCTGGGTCTGGTTCAAGCCTCTGCTACATTCCTTTTCCATGGAGTCACTGTGGGCTGGGGTGGAGGGCACGGGAGCTTGTTAGAGGCTGGGCTTTCTCGGCCCCTGGCCTTGTCTGCCATGCTCCTCTTGTCCCGAGACAACAGCAGGGGGGGGAGGGGGGACTCTTCGTCTCCCTGGGGTCAGCCCAGGTCCTGGCCCACCGCCTGCTCTGCAGCCCTCCCCTGTCTAAGCCGCCCGGGCCAGCTTATCCCACCGAGGGCCTTCCTGCCCCACCAGCTGAGGACTTTCTAAATCCATGGCCTTTGGAGCAGCCTGGGGACAGGACTGAAGCAGGGAAGAGGGAGGGGTGAGTGCAAGGTCGATTGGAGGCCCGGTTGTTCAAATTGAAATGCTTTCTGAGCCTCGCCCTGAGGGAACCTGCCAGCCGGAAAGGCTGGTGCTCTCAGGAGTCACGCAGAGCCAAGGCTGAGCCAGCTCCCCTCCTTTCCGGCTCCCCTCGCTGAACCTCTATTTCTCATCACTGAAGAGTGGGTAACAATAGTTGGTGCTTCACAGGGTTGTCGTGGGAGTGAAATAGGTCAGTCCGTGTAAAGCACATGTGTAGGCACACAGGAAGAGCCGCTGTTAGTGACGATGGTTGCCATTGTGTCCTAAGCAGCGTGAGTGGGACTGGGCACGTTGACCGGACCGTGTCTCGTGGGACGTGCTCTGTCTGTGAACCTCTGCAGGGCTGGAGAGACGAAGCGTTGTCTCTGGGCGGCGTTCGGGGGCAGAAGTTAATGTGAGGAGCAGCTTTCCAGCTCAGGGGTGTCCGTAGGTGGAAGGCACCTCTTCAGGGTTTGAGCTCCATGTCGATTGAGTGTGTAAAGAGAGGTGTGTACCCTCAGGGGCATGACTTTAGGGAAGCAGAAACTGGACCCGGTGACAGCCATCTCTGAGACTCTGTAATCTGGGGCAATAATCCCTGCCCCCTGCCCCGAGAATGCTGGAATCCCCTGCTGGGTGACCTTAAGCCGCCGCCTCTCTCAGGACTCTGGTCTGTGGAGTAACTTTCCTTTGCTAGAACCACCTCTGACCCCTCCAGGGAGAAGAGTGGTCCCCAATTCCACATCATCCAGGGTATCCCGAGGCCCCCCCCCCCCCCGCGCCCGGGCTTCATCCCCTTCTCAGTGAGGAACTGGCTCCGAGAGGTGCAGTGACTTGCCTAGGTCACACAGCACGTGGCAGAGCCTGGATCTGGGCACGAGGCCTGGTTTCCAAGCAGAGAAGAGGAGGTGGGCGCTGCATGTGCTGAGCAACCTAACATCCCCCAGGTGGGCGCAGGTGTGTGTGTGGGGTGTCTGCTGGGCCTGGTCCCAGTGAAACTGCTGTCTGCAGCCACTGCTGTGTGTGGCGTCCCTGCTGGGGGCTCTCCCTGCACCCCTCTCTGGACCTGTTTCCTCATCTGTTAAAATGGGGGTGGGGTGAAACTGCCCCTCTGGAAGGGCCCTTCTAGCTCTGAGAGTCCCTGAGTTCTGGGCTTCGCTGGCAGGATACCTAGAAACACTGTCCCGGGACACTCACTCAGCATGTCTCGGCCAGTACTAATGAGGGCAAGGGAGAGAGGAAGGGCCAGGTCACATTCCTCAAGAACTAATTAGCTCCCACAGTGGGGGAGGGTGGGGAGGAATTTTCTCAGCCACTGAGCGAGCTGCTAATCCTGCCTGTCCCATCCGCCTGTCCATCGGCCCGTTTGTTCGTGCACCCATTTGTTTAGTCTTTGTTCAAGAGCATAAATTGAGCACCGACTGTGTGCCAGGTGGGCAGTGGGGATATACAAAGAAATGGTTCCAGATTAATAGGGGTCTGACTACAGCCTGCCCCCTGACCTCAGGCCCTGGACTCTAGCTCCAGAGTGAACCTGAGCCCTGTTGACTGTGTTCCCCCAATGTCCCAAAGGGACTTTTTGAAATAAGCATGGGCTGTGGACCCAAAGGAACCTGTTCTGACTCCAGCTCTGCCACCCTTTGCTGTGACTTTGGGCGAGTTATTTACAAGTCTCCAGACCTCACTTTCTGCTTCTGTAGAACAGGGGCCAGGAATGCTTGTCCCCTGATATTCCTGTGAGGATAATATGAAGTAATGCAATGTTCCAGTTGAGTTGCTGCTGAAATTAGCCCATTTATTACTTTTATATTACAGTATGAGAATTAAAAAATAATTGTTTACATGAAAGTGGGAAGAAACTGTGCAAGGACAGAGAAGAAACTAATGACAGTTGTTACCTGACTTGTGATGGGGCGCTCGGGGTGGAGGGACACTTTTCACCGTTTACTTTTTTATGTTTTAATTTTTTTTTTTTTTTGATCATGTGAATGTATTGCCTGTTCTAAAACGAGAAGTGTTAGTGTTCATGCTAATGACTATGCTATGGGCTTGGCAGTGTAAAGGCCCTAAGAAAGGCACAGGAGCGTGTCCCGGGCTCACTGTGCATTCAGTCGTGCTTGCTGAGCGCCCAGGCTCTGTGCTAGGGGCAGGGTTAGAAAGCTGAACCAGCCAAGCAAGGTCACTGTCACCTTAGAGTTTAGGGGAGGAGGGGGGCAGACAGTAAACAAGGAAACAGATAAAGAAGATAATTGTGCATTGTGGTGAATGCCATGAAGAAAATAAAAAAGAGATGGGATAGAAAAGGAGGGCTGGTTACAGGAAAAGGCCCCTCCAGAGAGGTGACAATAAGTCCTGAATAGTAAGAAGAAGCCCACCTGGAATGCCGCCTGGGAGAAGATCATTCCAAGCAGAGGGAACAGCTAGTGCAAAGGCCCTGGGGCAGGAACAAACTTGGCATTTTCAGTAAATAGAAAGCCAGCAGGGCAGAGCCTAGTGAGAGAGAGGAAGGAGTCAGGCTACAGAGGGGCCAGGACTGCTAGCGTGAAGCGTTCTCCTGAGTGTGCCTGAGAACTGGATCAGCAACCTGCGGGCTCCAACTGAGGGCTGGCTGATCCTGATATGGTCCTCGGGGCAGGTTTACACAACTGGTGGTGTGTGGGCTGGGCCAGGGATCTTTATGAGGAGAGAAACAGGGAGTAAAGATCAAGATGCCGGAGGAAGAGGTCATCTGTAGGAGGGGGTCACGGTGACTGTCTGTTCGTCTGTCTATTGTGCACCCCTGTGGCTCTGCATTCCCGTTTGCTAACCCGGCCTCCGTCCCTCCCTGCAGCGTTGGGCCGGAGCACGAGCCTCACCGAGAAGGACCTGAAAGAGGCCAAGGCGCGGAGCCAGCAGATCGCAGCCCAGCTGACCACCCCTCCCAGCTCCAACTCCCGAGGCGTCCAGCTCTTCAACAGGCGGCGGCAGAGGGTGAACGAGTTCACCTTGGAGAGCCACGGCCGGCGGGCACAGAAGCCCGGCCAGGAGTCCCCGAGAGCGCCCTCCCGCAGCCCCACAGGCCATGCCCCAGGGCTCAGCCTGAGTCCCGCCTCGCTTCCTGAGCCAGGCCCTCCGAGGAGCCCCCCCGGCCAGAGCCCTGACCCAGGGGTTCCCGGTTACAGCATGGAGGGGTGCTCAGAGGAAGCCAGCCTGCTGCGGCACCTGGAGAAGGTGGCCAGTGAGGAAGAAGAGGTGCCCCTGGTGGTCTATTTAAAGGAGAACGCAGCCTTGCTGACGGCCAATGGGCTCCACCTGTCCCAGAACCGAGAGACCCAGAAGAGTCCGCCCACCCCGCCTCCAGCTGAGGTCCACAGCCCAGCTCTGGATGTCAACCAAAACCTGGCGTCCCCCAGTGCCACACTCGTCACACCAGCTTCTAACGAGAGCCACAACCTGCCAGCCACAGACGTCAACCAGAACCCGGCGGCGGCCGGCACCCCTCAGAGCCTGCCGTTTTCTAGCCGTCAGCACAATTCCTCGGAGGCTCAGCTCCCAGCGCCCGGCACAGGACCAGACTCTACACCCAGCACCCAGGGTGCCGGCGGGCAACCTCGGGAGCAGGTGAGACCCAGCACACTCCTAACCGACAAGGCGTCAGCGCCATCGGCCGCCAGCGGCACCTTCCCCAGAGAAGCGGCTCCCAGCTCCGGGTCCCCAGGCCCAGGCTTCATGTCCAGCTCCCTGCTCGTCGATGTCCAGCCCAGCGCCCCAGCAGGACAGGAGACACCGGGGCGGGCGGCGGCCACCACGCCCACCAAGATGTACAGCGAGGTCCACCTCACGCTGGCCAAGCCCGCGTCCGTGGTCAACAGGACGGCCAGGCCCTTTGGGAGCCAGGCACCAGGAGGCACTGGCCCGATGGAGCGGAGCCCCATGGTAGAGAGAAGACAGCTCGGAGGGAAGGCCCCGGCTTCCCAGCCCCCCAGCATGGCCGACAGGAGCCCTCGGCCGCAGAGACACGTCATGTCCCACAGCCCCATGGTGGAGAGGCGGCCCATGGCACAGCGCAGCCCCGCCCTGGAGAGACGCCCCGTGGGGAACTTCACCCCACCCCCCACGTACGCTGAGACCTTGTCCACGGCTCCCCAGGCTTCCCGGGTGAGGTCTCCCCCCTCTTACTCCGCCTTGTACCCCAGCTCTGACTCCCAGCCTTCCCACGTGAAAGGCCAGGCGGTTCCCGCCGGCAAGACGGGGATTTTGGAGGAGTCCATGGCCCGGAGGGGCAGCCGGAAATCCATGTTCACCTTCGTGGAGAAGCCCAAGGTGACGCCAAACCCAGACCTGCTGGATCTGGTGCAGACAGCTGACGAGAAGCGGAGGCAGAGGGACCAGGGGGAGGCCAGCGGGGAGGAGGAGCCCTTCGCGCTGGGGGCCGAGGCCTCCAACTTCCAGCAGGAGCCGGCGGCACCCAGGGACAGGGACAGCCCCACCACGGCCGAGAACGCCGTCCCCGAGTGGGCCTCCTGCCTCAAGTCCCCGCGCATACAGGCCAAGCCGAAGCCCAAACCCAACCAGAACCTGTCCGAGGCCTCCGGGAAAGGGGCGGAGCTCTACGCCCGCCGCCAGTCCCGCATGGAGAAGTACGTCATCGAGTCCTCGGGCCACGCTGAGCTGGCCCGCTGCCCTTCGCCCACCATGTCCCTGCCCTCGTCCTGGAAGTACTCCCCTGGCAGCCTCCGCGTGGCCTCCCGAAGCCCGGCTCGGACCCCGCCCGCCTCCCTCTACCACGGCTACCTGCCTGAGAACGGGGTCCTGCGCCCGGAGCCCGCCAAGCAGCCGCCCTACCAGCTGCGGCCCTCGCTCTTTGTCCTCTCTCCCATCAAGGAGCCAACCAAGGCCTCGCCGAGAGCCGCCTCACCCGCCAAGCCGGGCTCTCTGGACCTGGCGCCCAGCCTGCCCAAGGCGACCGTCCCGCGGTCACCAGCCCTGCCCCGGCCCTCCCGCTCCTCGCCAGGCCTCTACACAGCCTCGGGCCAGGACGGCCTGCAGCCCACTGCCGTGAGCCCCACCTACAGCAGCGACATCTCCCCCGTGTCTCCCTCCAGAGCCTGGTCTCCCCGGGCCAAGCAGGCCCCCAGGCCCTCCTTCAACACCCGGAATGTCGGGATCGAGGCTCAGGTGTGGAAGCCTTCCTTCTGCTTCAAGTAACGGACCCACAGGGATCCCACTGCCTGTCAGGGCCCCACCTCTGAGGGCAGGATGGAAAGCAGTGTGGCAGGAAATGGCACAGGGCTGAGAGTCAGGAGTACGGGGACTCGGGGCTCAAGGGCTGATGCTGCTGTGGCCAGCTTTGTGACTGACGCTGGGCAAGTCCCTCCCCTCTCTGAGTTGCAGCTGCCAGTTCCCTGCTCGGAGGGTGGTTGGACTCCATGTCAGAGGGATAGAAAGCCTGCTGACGGGCGGGAGGAGGGTCGTGGAGGCAGGCGCCAATGAGGCTGGGGCTTCCTCTAGCCTCCGTGAGCTATTGGGACGCCAGCGTCTTGCTGGGGAATGGCCCGGAAGGGGACTTCACACGGGCTTCTGGAGCAAACACCCTGCCACAGCCTGTGGGACAGCGGGGCCACCCTCATGTGGCCCAGCTCCTGGCACCTTTCTACCTGTTGCTGGATTCTTACTCCACGGGTCTGTCTCTTCCGTCTCTGCCTTCTGGACACCGTTTCCTCTCCGCTGCTTCAGAGAGCTTTGCCTCGGCCTCCACATTCTCTCCTGCTGGATGAAGACTTAGCCCTCTGCTGTCTGATGCTTTTCTCCTGCCCTCTGTCAGCTGCCTCCATGCCTTCTCCAAACGTCTGGCTCCACTTAAGGGACAGCTAACGCAGCTCATCCCAGACCTCCACCCTGGTTCCACCTGGCTTGCCCTCACTGCTCTGGGGTAGGGGAGGTCCCAGGGAACCCCTGAGAGACAGAGAGCCCTGTAGAAGGCTGTGCAGCGAGGAGAGAGTCCCCTGGCAATGCATCTGATGGCTGTTTTGGCTGCAACCTCAGCCAAGATCTGCCTGACTGAAAGCAGCCATCTCCATTCATTGGGAGAGAGGCAGGAGAGGAGGGTCTGGTCCATCTCAGCCTCTCATTTGCTGAGTGACTTTGCCAAGTCACTTTCCCGCCCTGGGCCTCAGTTTTCTCAGTTATACAATGAAGGCTCCACCAGGTGTGTCAGTCTGTGCGGGCTGAGGGACAGGCTGGTGCTTTGGGAGAAAGGCCTTGTAAGTGATGACAGTGCCCCGTGAGGAGAGGGAAGGAGATGGGCAGTTGCTGTAGGACAGATGGAGATGAGATGTTTGCAAGGTTCTGGGGAGGGTGTGGCTGGAATGAGCTGCTGGAGGAGCTGAGGGATCAGAAGCCTAGACTGGAATGGCTCAGGGGCAGGATTGCTGGGGCAATGGGAGCGGAGCAAGGGCTGGGGCGGCAGCACACAGCTCAGGGAGATGGGTTGGAGGAGACTTTAAGGATCTGAGGAAAAGGCTGGGATGTAAGAGTTGACTCCATATGTACCTTTGGGTCTCAGTTTCCCCATTCATAGTAGTATGAGCACTTTACCACCTCTGAAAGCTTTATGTGCTGCAGCCCCCCAACACCAGGCTTTGTGGGGGGTGAGAGAATACAGAGGCAAGAGGCAGAATTCAGATGGAAGATTCCCAAGGCTGGGGCCCGAGCACCACCCACTGACTTTTCCAGCCCTGTTTCTGGGCTCCCCATGGAGAGAGGGGTGGTGGAGGCGGTGCTCATGCTGGGCTGAGCCTGCCGTTCTCCTGAGCTCCGGGCTCATCTCCATGGGAACAGGGTGCCTTCCCAGTGAGTTCATTCTGCCCAGAATGCAGGGGCATGCATGGGGAGCCTTGAGTGAGCTCAGCAGCTCCATGCAGCCCCCTCTCAGGACAGAGTGAGGCGCCTGCCCTAGACCCGCTCCCTTGACCCTGGAAGAGCCACCCTCCTTCCTGCAACGCCTGCGGCCAGGCTGGCCAAGCTCTTACCCACTTTGTCTTCTCTCCTGTTCTCAATACACTCTGCCTCAACTCTGTCTTGCTGCCTTTCTTCCAAGCTCACCGGCTGGTGGTCAGGGTTGTCTCTCTCCTCCCTGATTCCGACCTGGGAAGTGGGACGGGACTGTTCGGTTATGTGTGAACATGTGGTGTGTCTCCTGTGTTGCCTGCATCTGCTGTGTGTCTGGATCAGCCATGGGCACACACAGATGTGTGCTGACTTGGAAGCAAGGTGCCCTCTCTCTTCCCCAGAAGTCAGAACCCAATGGACAGCACGTTCCCCCGTTTTCTCCTTCCTCAGAGTTTGGCTAAAAAGACTGTAGAACCTGAGAAAATCCACAACCTCTTACAGTTCAGGTTGGTTTGAGCTCTTTGAAAGTGGAATTTAAATGCCAGAGCATACATTTTCCTGTTCCCTCGGGTCCCCTTCTCCTCTCCCTACAATGTAAATCTGGCCTTTTCCCACGCTTACCACCACCTGCCTCCAGATAACACTGAATTTCTTCCCTTGGTGGAGAGGAACATCCTGCCATCGAGAGTCAGAACTGGATTCCAGTCCCAAATCTGCACCTGACCTGTGTGTGACCTTAGACAACCCTTCCTACCCCTGGGCCTCAGTTTCCCCTTCCATGCAATGGAAGAACCTCAGAAGGCAGTTTGGGAGCTAGGTCTGGTCTCAGTTCCTGTCTGACTTTGCTCTCCTCATGCCTGCACCCCACTCATGTGCCCTGCTTTGGGGCTGGTGCTGGGTTAAGTGATGCACTTTGTGAATTTTCACTCACGTGCTTTTCAAAGTAGTTTTGGTATATACAGAAATTCAGGGTGCATTGGGATCTTTGCCAGAAAGTGAACAGCTCTGATTTCCTGCAGCCTTTTTGTATTATGCATCTTTCCCCTCCGCCCAAACACACACACACACACACACACACACACACACACACACACACACACACACACACACAGTCAGCCATGGCAATTCCAATGAGGTCAGGCTCTGGCCCACCTCCAAATGAGGAGGAGCTGCTCACCACTGCCCCCAACATTCCAATACAAGCTGTTATTCCTTCCACTTGCTGGCCCTAGCTTTCCCCCTGTGGCCACCAAAGGCAGAGACAACCCTTAGAGATTTCAGACAATTACCTCAGCTCCCCCTGCCTCAGACTACTCTTCTGGCTAAAGAGCCCTGGTTGCTCTGCCTCAATGCGTGTTGATGGGCTTTGATCATGAACTCTTGGCCCCGCTTCCCTGAGCTGGGCTGACAGCAAGCTTCCTGGGACGTTGCACAGACAGAGCAGCTCCCAGCGTCTCTGGCTAATGTAAAAACAACTCTGATCCTGGGAGTATAAGGGGTGGATCCCATGCCGGACTTTTAACTTTCTTACTGGGTGATTGAGGCCCAGGGTCACTCCAGCATTACCATCCCGTGAAGAACTGTTCAGACAAACTGCCATCAAGAGTCAGAAATGGATTCTAGTCTCATATCTGCACCTGACTCGTATGTGACCTTAGACAACCCCTTCCCACCCCTGGGCCTTTTTCTCCTTCCATGCAGAAGGCTCAAATTCTAGCCGCTACACTGGAGAAAACAGATACTTTATGTCCATTGTTTGCTTTTGACTGGGATAAATTCGATTCTTGATCAGATGAGAGGCTGAAGGGCTTGGATGTGGCTGACAGAATTAGAGAATGGATGTTATGAGATATTGAGTAGGAGGCACTGAATGAACTGGCTAGTTCTGGACTCTGAGGGATGATTGGTGGTGAATTTGGATTGGATTGAAGCCTAAGTGGACTGGTTTATTGCTGGGATCTGATTGGATGAACAAACTGATTTAGCAAATCCATGCTGGGGAAGGATCCCCACTCACTCCCTACACTTTCATATCAGTTCAGACTGTTTAAGCATGATATAGCCTTCAAGCAGCAGTTTCTCTCCCTCTCTCTCTCTCTCTCTCTCTCTCTCTCTCTCTCTCTCTCAGAACATACTGGATAGTTACTTACATCTTTGAACTTCATCTTCACTACTGGAAAATGGGTGTGATGATGCCAGCTATGTCACCAGTCTGTTGTGAGGAGACTGAGCCTTGTAGACTGGAAAGTCCCTAAGTAGGCAGGAAATAAATATGATAGTATAATTTATAAGCTTAAAGATGTCCACACTACCCACCTCATGTCAAAAGAAGTCCAGTGAGGGGAGCATGCTGTCTAGAGAGGAATGACACAACTTCCTTTTGTGTTTCCATCTGTCAGTGGGAACTTCCTTCCTGCTCAAGATGTTCAAGGAAAAATTAGAAGGCGACCATGGCAACATGGAGTTGGGGCTGAGAGAGTCTTTGCCTAAGCGCAACCTTAATAATAATAAAAAATGTTTAATTTTAGGATAGATAATACATACATATGGTTCAAAAATCTAAACTTACAAAAAAAGTAGTACATAAAGCCTTATTCCCACCCCTGTGGCGGTGTGCTTTGCCCCCCTCACCCCATTTCCTCACTAACCACTTTGGTTAGTTTCATGTGAATCCTCCCAGTATTTCTTTATGATGAATGACATCTAGTGAGCACTTTCTTTCTCCCAGGAAATCACATGTAATACTCTTTACATTAGTTATCTCATTTAATTCTCACAACAACCCTATGGGGTACATGCTGATATTAGACCCCCATTTTACAGAGAAGGAAACTTAAGTCCAGATTTCCAGTTACCCAAGTTCATTTAGTAAGTATAGGGGTCTGTCTCCAAAGTGAGAGTTCCTAACCCCTAGTCACCTGCCTCCCTGTTAAGTGCAGGGGCACGCAGTGTGGGCTTTTTCTTTTAAATAAATATATTTTTATTGAGTTCAGAGGAGAAAGGAGAGGGAGAGAGAAACATCAATGATAATGATTGATTGGCTGCCTCCTGCATGCTCCCCACTGGAGATCCAGCCAGCAACTCAGGCATGTGCCCTTGACTGGATTCGAACCTGGGGCCCTTCAATCCACAGGCTGGCGCAGGGCCAGCGTGGGCTTTTTCAAGCATCTGGGCTGAGAATGGGGGCATCTACGTTTTTAGTCGCTGGCTTTCCTAACTATAACACGGACAAATTAAACTCGGTCCCTTCCAAAATCCGGGCATGGAGGACCCCAACACTAACGCTTGCCCCCACCCTCTCTGTTCTCTTCACAGGACCGCCGCGAGAGCCTGCCCACCTCCCCGCCCTGGACGCCCAGCGCGTCCCGGCCTCCCAGCAGCCTGGACGGCTGGGTGAGCCCACGGCCCTGGGAGCCGGGCCGCGGGGGCAGCATGAGCAGCCCCCCGCCGCTGCCTCCGCCGCCGCCCATGTCCCCCTCGTGGAGCGAGCGCTCGGTATCCCCACTGCGACCTGAGACACGACCTGAGACGGAGGTGCGGCCCCCCAGCCGCCAACTGCAGGCTCTGCTGGCCCGAAACATAATCAACGCGGCCCGGCGCAAGAGCGCCTCCCCGAGGCCGGCGGGCGCCGAGAGCCTGCGGCCCTTCTCCCCGCCCAGGGCGCCGCTGCCGCCGCCGCCACCACCGCGCATGCGCTCGCCGCAGCCCGCCCGGCCCGGCCCAGTGGCTACCTTTGGGGCCACATTCGCCCCAATCCCGCGGAGCCCGCTGCTGGCCGGGCCCTCGCCCTGCGCCAGCCCCCGCAGTCCGCCCCCCGCACCGTCCAGGCCCTTCCCCTATCGCCGCTCGCCCACGGACTCTGATGTGTCCCTTGACTCCGAGGACTCCGGGGCGAAGTCGCCCGGCATCCTGGGCTACAACATCTGTCCCCGTGGGTGGAATGGGAGCCTGAGGCTCAAGCGTGGCAGCCTCCCCACCGAGGCCTCCTGCACCACCTAAAGCCTCCCGCTTCCCATCCCGGGAGGGCCGAGCTGGAAGAGATCTTAGATCAACCTTAGGAGATCTCGGCACCACATCCCCAAAAGATCTGGCCTGTTTGGACAGCCCCGGAGATAAGGGGTCAGGGGCCAGAGCTCTGGGCTTGGAGTAGTGATCCAAGCTTGGGTTCTAGCTCTAACAATATCATTCAGTCCTTGTGCGAACCCGGGAAAGACCCTTCCTCTGACCCTCAGCTTTTCCAATGAGGCTTTGACCAAAGCAATCTCCAAAAGTCTAAATGCCACACACACACACACCCCTTGGGCCCTGGAAGAGTTGCTGCGTTCCAGGGTTCCATACTCCTCCCTTCCTTCCTGGCTCTGCTCTCTGGAGTCTGGCAAATGAGCGGTATGTTCAGAAGGTCCTAGGCCTAAGTTCCCTGTCCAGGTCCTGGCTTGACCATCCTCCTTCCTGGCTCCAAGTCCCAGGCAGTAGCAGCTGTTTTCCATCCCTGCCCAGATAAGCTCTATTTTTACCACCGTGACCTTTAGTGAGGTCTCTCAGGCCAGCTCAAGGTGCCCCGCTCCTCTGGAGAGAAAAGGCAGGAAGAGTCCTCCTCCCAGGCCCTCATGCTTTTCTCCATCACAGCTTAAACGGCAGCCCAAGAAGAGAGCTCTACAGCCATGATTTCCCCCCAGGTCTTGGGACTCTAGGAATGCTATAGGTGCCTCCAATCCATCTATCCCTTCCGGGCCCTTTCACGGCAGCCCTTTCAAAGCTGAGCCCTTTCAGAGTTGGCATGGAGCTCTCTGCCAGCCTGTGGCTTTACCTGATAGCCCTGAGTTTGAGGTTGACCATATGGAAAGAGGGAAGCAAAGATTTCCTGGTTAGAGGATGTATGCAGGCAGTGGCCAGGATGCACAAAAAGATTCTAGTAGAAAATGGATTGGCTCAGATGACCTCTGAAGGCTCTTCCAGTCCTGAAATGCATTCCACAGCATTAGAAAGAGAAGGAGAGTCCGGGCGGAGAATTGGCTGGGCAGAATTCAGGGACAGGTGAGCTTGGGTGGGTGAGTGAGAAGTTAGACCAGAGCCAACCTATGTTTCTGGTTTCTTAGGAAGCACCCACTCTTCAGTTCCAGGCCCCAAAATCCATATCATACCCAGATGGGTGGGCACTGTTCTATCTCTTTCCCATTGCACTCTGGCCTAGCTAGTACCCGGTGCCCAGTGACCTTGTGGAACCTGGCAGCAGGCTCTAGCATGCCCCTTAAATCCTGGTGGCTCTGAATCTAATCCCCAGAGAGACATGGGGAGGAACTGGCTAAGTTCCATAGTTTCCAGAACTGGCTGGTGATGCCCTCTAGAGGTTCAGGATATTTACTTTAGGATATTAAGGGTGGGGTGTTAGAATTGGCTAAAGATCAGAGGTGTGTAGGTGAAAGGATACCAGGATGTTGCTAAAGATGAAGGATAGAGTGTAATTGTGAGTTAGGGGTAGACTTACCCTAACCCAAACTCACTTGTTAAACCTGGAACCCTTAAGTGAAGCTAGGAGAAGCCGGGGATCAGGATGTGTGACTAGGGTGCTCTGCAATAAAGAAGTGATCCCAGAGGGTTCCTAGGGAATAAGGATTGGGAACACAGACTCTGTTGGTGGGAAGATGAGGAGGTCAATGATGAGTGACCACATTTATCAAAGTCGTCACCTGCTTCAGGGTCCCTTGTAATATAGAAGCCAAACTAAGGCCTGTTTCAAAGAAGAGACATTATTAGGCCACTGGCTGAGGAAGTGGCATAGAACATCTACTTCTCCCTGCATATACACAAAGAGCCAGCAGGAGGCAGCCTTGGAAAGCTGCAGTTCTGTCTGGTTCTTCCCTTGCTTCACTGCCTTCTCCCTCATCTTCTCCTCTAACCCAGTAGAGATTGCCTGTGTCCTGTCTCTTGTCTCCTATAGAATTCAGCTCTGGCCCTAAATAAATGCTTCCTGAGTCCTTTTGCCGCCTGGGTCATTTTCGTCTGTGTCTAAAGCCCTTTCTCCCCAACCATGGGACAGTCCATAGGACTTAGGGTGGATGAGAATGTTTGATGCACATGGGATGGGAACTTGAGAAATAGCATCCATAAGAAGAGGGAGGGAACAACATAAAAACTCCAGACCATAGATGTCACTAAGTTGAAGTCCTGGTTCTATTGTCACTAGCTAAGTGACGCAGGGTAAACACACTCCTTTCTCTTTAGGCCTCAGCTTCCTTGTCTGTGCAATGCGTGAGCTGGGCTAGCTGATGTCCCAGGATGGTATTGCCCAGCCCTGACCACAGGCACCGTCACTGGAGTGTGCAGGGCCAAGCTGGGGCAGGGGCCAGTGCTCTGGGCTGCTTCCTCAGAAGCAGGTCAGAGCTCCAGGCAAGAGCAGGAGGTAATGTTCAAGTCCAGACAATCTTAGAGCAGGACAAACCATTAGGAGTGCTCCTCTCCTGATGGGGGCATCCTTGCCTAAAGAAGGGAACTGTGGACCCACTCCCAGGTGAGGCCATGCCGGCCCTAGGAATATTCCTCACCTTCCTTTCTGGACGCTCAGGCCCTGCAGAGGAAGCCACGCTCAGGCCATCCACAGCAAAGTTCAGGCTTCTTCCTAAGAAGGTTGTCAGAAATCTGTCTTTAGTGTTTGTCACACAGGTACAGATATCCCTGCTCAGACCCAGTGCATCCCTGCTGCTCCCAACCTTCCATAGGAGTGTTTCTCTTTAGCTGGACCCTTCCCTGAATGCAGTATCCCTCCTGCCCAATCTGCCCCTCCGGTTACCTTCCCAGTCACCTAAGCCAGAGACACCGAAGTTGCCCTCTCCTCACCTCCTACATTCAGTTTCTCACAAGGACCTAGTGATTCCCCAAATACCCCTCAAGTTCCTCTCCTCCTATGGATGCCCGCTGTCACTGCCCATTAAGCCACCCCCATCCCTCCCATAGTGAAGGCCTGCCTCCAGTATGACCCCTTCCCCCCCATTTTCCACATGACAGAGATATCTTTGGAAAAATGCCAATCTGACCACTCCATCCCACCGCTTTAAACTCTTCACAGCTCTTTATAAAGCACACTTGCCTTTTGAAAAGCTTGCTGTGATCTGGCCCCTGCCCACCTGTCGCCTCATCTCTCAGCACTGCCCCACCCCTAGTTCTGGCTCTACTTGCCGACCTCCTACCATTTTTATACATGACCCGGCCTCTGCCTGCGATTCCTGTGTCTTCTCTGCCCAGTGAACTCCCACTCAGCCTTCAAGGCCCAGCTCAAATGTCTCTTCCTCTGGGAAGCCTTCCCCACCCCCAGGCTGAGCTGACAGTGCCCTCCCAGAGCATTTCCCATGATGCATCTCAGAAGCTTATTTACAGGTCTGGCTTGGGCCTGGCTGAGCTCCTTGAGCACGGAGTCCTGCCTTGTTTATTTACAGTCCATAGAGGCTCAGAGAATGTGAGAAGTTGGAGGGAGGGAGAGAAGGAAGGAGGCAGAAAGAAGAAGAGAAGAGAGGAAAGAAAGAATAAGTCAAACAAAGATATTAAAGGACAATTCATCCATCATCCATCCATCCATCCATCCATCCATCCATCCATCCATCCATCCATCCAAAATATATCTATGGCAATCCTATCAGGCTCCATTCTAGGCACTAAGGATACAATTAGCAAGCTCAAGTGACCGGAGACTGACTCTCAGCATTTCCAGGTGACTCTGGTGTGTGCATGTGTACGTGTGTATGTTCATGTGTGTGCAAACCCTTCTGTCGGCAAGGGCCTGCTGCTGGGGCACCTGTCTTCCCTGGGGCCTGGTGCTTTTAGCATCTGTCCCTGGATCCAGTTGCAGCCCGAAATAAGGCTGTGAGCCACAACAAGGCAGGAACAATTCTCGTCAGCTGAAGCCAGAGCTGGCTGCAAGGCGCACTCAGCTCTCTGACTGCCCTTCTGCTGCACGGACACTGACCACCCAACCTTCAGCTTCCCGACAGAGGTGTTAACCTTGAGGGTCTGATATTCTCTCTGCCCACCTGGTCCCAGCTCTCAGGTACCAGGATCCTAAGGGAATGTGAGGAGCTGTGGGGAGTGGGTGGAGGAGATGAACCAATTCCCAGAGCCCCTTCCTTTCCAAGAAGAGGAAGGGCCCTGCAGAGTCTGGGGAGTGTGGGGCCTCGTGGAAGCCTGAATCCTGAGTTGGGAAGGGAGGGATTCTAAGCCTAGGTTACTCTAGGTTAAATGAGGAAGGGATAGCTACGATTCATGGTGGAGGATAGCTAATGGCTCTGCTCAGGACTCCAAGATTTTTAGGGAGTAGAGGGAAGCAGGGTACCTGTCCGGACAATGAGGGGCTCTTCCCAATGTCAGTGAATTTCTAAAAAGGGGGTGATTATCAAGAAATAGGTCTGCGGAATGTGAGTCCTCATTAGTCACAGCTGGAGCTCTCTCAATCATCTCATGACCCTCATCCAAATGCACGCAGACGTGCTCATGTTTGTATCATTTTAGGGGGCTCGTGAATGCTCTTGAAGCCCATCCATGAATCCCCATGATCTAGCCCAACCTTTTATGTTACAGAGGGGGAAACTGAGTCACAGAGCTGGAGAGCAACTTGCTCACAGTTACAGAGAGAGTGAGAGACACCGATTAGCTGCCAAGCCACCAGTGACCACTGACCTAAGTGGGAGTGGGTTTGGGGGTACAAATGGAGGCAGATTCTGTTTCTAAAGAGGGAATATAGGAAAATCAGGAAGCAAAACAGAGGGGCACAGGGGTGTGTAATCTGTCAGGGGTTCAAAGGATCTGCCTTCTCTTTTGGGGGGCAAGTTCGGGGATTTGGACTTGGGGCCTGCAGGGGCTTAGGGGGAGTTCTAAACTTCATTTTATTTGCAAATTTTTTAGAAAGTCATGAGATACAGCCGAAACCGGTTTGGCTCAGTGGATAGAGCGTCGGCCTGCAGACTGAAAGGTCCAGGGTTCGATTCCGGTCAAGGGCATGTACCTTGGTTGCGGGCACATCCCCAGTAGGGGGTGTGCAAGAGGCAGCTGGTCGATGTTTCTCTCTCATCGATGTTTCTAGCTCTCTATCCCTCTCCCTTCCTCTCTGTAAGAAATCAATAAAATATATTAAAAAAAAAGAAAAGAAAGTCATGAGATACAAATGGGGGAAGAGGGGGTTAGATAGAGGAGGAGAAAGAGAAGGGTGAAAAAGAAAAGAGCACCATGAGGTACTAGACTTATTGAGGTGATCACTTTATAAGTTATATAATATCTGATCTCTATGTCACACACCTAAAACTAATATAATGTTGTATGTCAACTGCAATTTTAAAATAAAAACATTATTAAAATAAAAGGAAGCATCATGAAAGTCAGTTCTGGGGTAAGGGTAGAGGAGGGGGTGATGGTTTTCTCAGCTTCCTTGGACCAGCCAGTGCCCTCAAGTCTTAGGGCCAAGTACTAGGGAAAGGAGGGGAGGGCCAGCCTTGCAGACCCCAGTGTCACCCCTATCTCTCCACCTATACCCCTTCTCCCCCTGATGTAAACCTCCAGATTCTTTCAGCCGCTGATCAGAGCTCACCTACATCAGCGGATGAAAATAGTTTGAGACCCATACCTCCCACCCCTAGTGTCCCAGAGTTGACACCCTAAAGAGAGAGTGCTTCTCTAGCTGCATGGGAAGAACTGAGCATCTCCCTCATTCTCCCTGGACCTCAGTCTCCTCCTCTGTATGTAGAGACCCACCCAGCTCAGACAGCCCTTGCTTGAGACCTTGGGGTGGGCCAGGGACTTGAAGGAGGCCTGGAAGGGCAATGGAGGCGGTCTGGCCAATTTGTGGATCATCTCATCTACAGGATGATCCCTAAGGAGGAGAAGAAGCCAGAGATGGCTGCCATGGGGGACCAAGCTGGACCAGGTAAGGTGGACCCAGCCTGTGTGCATTCCTCAGACCCCATCCTTTCTTGGTCCCAGACTGCAGCCACTCAGGCCTGCTGGCCCCAAGCCTACAAAAGCAGGTCTGAGTTCCAGGCCAGCCCCAAGGGAGAGCCTGTGGAATCTGCCACCTGGGCTGGAAGCTCCCCAAAGCATTGAGAAGGGCGTTGCCCTGCTGCCCTCACATCCAGAAGCTGGAGTTGCATGCCCTAGACCAAGCCTGGCCCCAGCTAAGTCTTTGCCTCAGTCTCAAATGGAACTCAGTGGGCTCTGATCCCAGATCCAGCCTTAACTGCAGTCCCAAGCTCCCCACACACTTGTCCTTGCTTGTTGAAACTCTGCATCTCACTAAGTCCCCATGGCTAGAATCAGGGGTTGGGGGTAAAGTGTGCAGGTGGGCAAGGCTACCCAGTTGGGACTCAAACCATTTCACTTAAAAACCGACTCATCTAGTGACTAAATCATCTAAAATACATGTTTATTAACTTTATAAGACCTCTCAGAACACTTGGCATAATTTTATAGTCTATTTACTTGGCCTACTTTAGAGCATTTCAAGAATTTTATAAACAAATTCAACTAAGTCGGGCCTCTCAAACTTTCATGTTAATTATAGTGGCATGGTGTTGGTTAAAATGCAGATTGCCAGCATCCACCCAGGGATTCTGACTCAGTGGACCTGGGGAGGGGCCGTGCATTGCCTGTTAGACAACACCTGGGTTATTCCAACGCAGACTGACAGTGAGCTGAGCTCTGATAAACCCTAGCCTAAGACCACTGCTAGGTATTACCTCCTAAGAAGTACTTAATCATATGTGTCGTCCTTTTAACCTGTTTTGTGTGTCCTTGCCTCCTTTTGTGGGAGTCAAGTTTTTCTTTTATTCCATGATTTCATGTGCTGAAACACACAGACTTTGTGAAGTGTTTGTTAGTGCTCTAACCAGGAGGACAGGGCCATGCATTCTCTCTTCTTATAACTAAGCAATTAATTTGACCCCAAATATTGGCACACATCATTTATGTCAGACAGGAAATATGTAAAATGTTGACTATTGCTAGGTTATTACTTAAAGACAATTTTGAAACTAAAGAAAAATATAAAGTAAAAACAAAACAAAACATAACCACCTCATGGTTTTGCCACCAAGAGACACCCATTGCAGAGTAAGAATAAAAATACCATTACTGCTTACCATGTGTCAGATACTATGCTAAGAGCTTTGATGCTTTATGTTACATAAACTCTACAACAACTCTGTCAATTAGACATTATCACCATTCAGCAGATGAGAAACTGAGGCCCAGAGGAGGTAGATGGTCACACATCTTAACCAAGATGTGTGACATAACCAAGATTTCACTCCATATCTGTTTCTTTACTATTTAGTTATACAAATAACAAATCTATATACTGAGTGGCCAGATTATTATGATCTCTGAATGCATAATAATCTGGCCACTCAGTGTGTGTGTGTGTGTGTGTGTGTGTGTGTGTGTGTGTGTGTATTAGAGGCCTGGTGCATGAATTCGTGCATGGGTGGGGTCTGGCCAGCCTGGCCAAGGGGAAGGGACATGGGTGGTTGGCCAGCCTACCTGCTGGTCAAACCTCTGATCAAGAGGACAATTTGCATATTAGCCTTTTATTATATAGGATATATACTGAGTGGCCAGATTATTATTCGTTCAGAGATCATAATAATCTGGCCACTCAGTGTATATATAAAAGCCTAAGCAACCGGCCAACTGGCTGACTGGCTGGTCCTATGACACACAATGACCACGAGGGGGCAGATGCTCTGACCGGTAGCTATGATGCACACTGACCACCCAGGGGCAGACACCCAACATAGGAGCTGCTGAGCTGCGGTGACTTGGCAGCTGTGGTTCTTGGATGATACGCCTGGAACCAGAGAGGAGGGAGACTGATTCCAGACTATGTCACCCAAGAACTGCCCTCTTGTAATCCAGGACCCTTCGGTGGATGTTGGGGAGCTGGTTTTGGCCCGATCCCACAGGCCAGGCCAAGGGACCCCACTAGTGCACAAATCCATGCACCGGGCCTCTAATCATTTTAGAAAATATTCAGACCAAATAGACATGAAGGACTTTGAAAGTGTAAGTTCCTTCTAGTAGAACCATCTGGACATAACCAATGTTCTAATATTTGTGTCAATCCTCTTTCTGTTCATATATAAACGTATTTATATAAATGCAAATATACACACGTGGGCTAAAGACTACTAGTATACACTGTGCTCTTCAACTTAAATTTCTTTTCACTTAGCAGCTACCACAGAATCCTTTCCATCCTCACCACCTCCCTCCTGCTTCCCTAGCATGTCATATGTTATATGTATTTATACTCATACAAACCTTCAAATGGTGTCATGAAGGCTCGTTTCAGAGTGGGACCTTTAGGAAAAGAGCCGAGGATTCTTGAGCAAGTGACTTATTGAGGTTGCACGCTCAGGAGAAGGGAAGCTGCTGAGCAAGGATGTGGGCTCAGCTATAGCCCAGATTCAGTCTGACCCTGAGGGTGCCACAGAATTCATCCCATCTTCAGCAAGGACCATGACCCCTTCTGTTCACCTGGGCAGTTCTCTGTAAAGGCGGCAGTTGTGGGCTGTCAACCACAATAAAGGGCACTTTGGCAGCATCCACCACAGACTGATCCCAGGTTTCGTAATTTGAAACCTCACTGTAATAAAATTCTTGTATTTATATCTTCGGGCATGTTTATTCAATTTTTCTCCCCAAGAATGAATGCCAGAATTGCTTAGTCAAATAGGTTTTGTCTATAGCTTTTTTCTTTTTTTTTTTTTTTAATATTAAGCTCTGTTCATCTGGATAATATTTGAGAATATGCCAGGAGACTCTTTGTTATATATTTATTTTTTATGTTTTTGTTTCTTTTTTTATTTTTATATTTTTAAGTGTGCAGTACATTCTATTGTTTAAAAAAAAATAACAGTGCAAACAATTACCATTCCTAGCCCTCCTTTTTCCTATGTCCCATAAGTCATCACTGCTAATATTCAGCATGTCCTTGGAGATTTTTCAGTGCATGTATGAACATATATTTATTTTTTTAAATATAGTGGGACCTTAGACTATAGATTCTTTTGAAACATACTTTTCCCCCTTCTAACTTACAATGAATTTCCTTATGCCCCTAACGTGTAGAAGGTGCTTTCTCTATATCTGCTGAAAGAAGGGAAAAATCACCCTCCTTTTTAAAAAGGCTCTGTAGGAAGGAGTCCATTGAATGGAATGAGTCACAGCCCTTGACTGGCCTCAGTGCTGCCTGATGACCACATCCATCTCCCTGGCCTGCTCACCCACCCACTACTCTCAGACAACTTTGGGACCCTCTCTTCTCAAACCTCCAATGCCTCCTTCCCCATCTTCATTCTCAGTCAATGCCTTCTTATTTCATTGAGGAAAGTGAAGTCACCAGAAGAGAACAGCTGCACACTGCCTCTTCCACATTTGTCCATTGCTTGGCCTATGTCCACGTTCTCAGTTTTTCTCCTCGATGTGCTAGATGAACTCTTCTTGCTAGTATGAAGCCAACCCTTTTAGTTGGGCACCGGATGCCCTCCCCTCCCTCTCTCTTACTCAAGGACAGATATTCCTTCAGTAATTCTCCACTCTCTATTGCACTGTCAAATTTTCCCATCAGCTAACAAACATGCTGTTATTTCTCCCTCTTTAGAAACAAACAAACAAGAAACCCCTCTTGATTGCTCAGCTGCCTCCAACCATGGTCTAGATCTTTGGTCACCAACCTGTGGCTCATGGACCACCAGTGGTCCGTGAGGTCAGAAAGGTTGGCAACTGCTGGTCTGGAGCACAGCTCCCTCAAAGCAGTTGTCTCTATTTTCTTCCCCTTCTCCTCTTCTAACATTTTACCAAGCCAATTTCCAAACACACATAAAAGTAGAGTGCAAATCCCCATGGCCCTCCTTTCATTCCTGGAATCCAAAGCAAATCCCGAAGAGTATGTCACTTCATGCTCTAACTACTTCCGAATGCACAAAAATCATAAAAAGGACTTTTCCTTACACACCAAAGTTATCAGCACACACAACAAAATTAGCAATACGTCTAATAACCAGTCCCATAGTCAACTTTCTCCAATCTTCTTCTTTGTTATAATGAGGATTCAAATAAGGGCCATTGTTTCTATTTGGTTGCTATGTCCCTTAAATCTCCTTTCATCTAAAACAACCCCCCCGTTATTTTTTCCCATGTCACTCACTCTTTTGAAGAAACCAGGCCAGTTGCCCTGTAGAATGTTCCACATCCTAGATTTGGCTCATTGCTTCCTCGTGGTGTGGCCCAGCGGTTCCTCTGTCCATTTTCTCTTGAACCCTCTCCAATAAGGCTTTCACCCAGCAACTGCTTCTGTGAAGGTCACCAATAGTAACTGCACATTACTAAATTATCATAGTCAATTTAGCCCTGTCTTACTTGACACATCAGCAGCATCTGACTGTTGATCAGCCCATCTTCCTTGAAATGCTTTAGTAATTTGGTTTCCAGGACAACCATGCTCTAGCTTTCCTCCTGCCTCGCTGGCAGCTCTTCCCTTCTAGGGCTCTGTCATTCCTCAGTCTAAATGTTGGAGCCCCAGGCTATAAAGTGGCTATTGTCTCAATTAGACATCACTTTATTTCTCTTCTTATGCACCAATCTTTATCTCAGGTCAGTTACCTCCCATCAACTCGAGTCTCTCCACCTGGATACATACAAGTCTCTTTAAACCTTATATGCCCAATTTTGAAGAAAATTAGGGTGCCTTAAATATGGAGTAAGTATTATATAAGACAGAAATTTGCTCACTTGAAAAGGTGGAGATCTTAAACTGAATTTCTCCTGCTACGAACCTTCCACATCTCAGGGAGTGGCCGCGCCAACCTTCCAGTGACTCAGGCCAGAAAGCCTGCCGTCAGTCACCCTCCACTCTTCTCTCTTTCATATCCCTTATCCAGGGATTACCTTTAAAGATATCTAGGACCTGACCATTTCTCACTACCTCCACCACTGTAGGCAGAGAGCTGCTCAGGAAATCCATGGGATATGTAAATACAAATGGCCAAAAGACATCTGAATCGATGCTCATTTCACTGTCAGACACATGCAAATTAAACTCTGAGGTGTCATCTCTGCCCACCAGGTGGACAGAGTCCACTGAATGATGCACTCAGTGTTGGCAAGTGTGGGGAGAAGGCAGCATTCTCAACACCATGGACATTGCCATGAGGAGATCTCCTTAGAAGTGTCTGAGTGGCCTGGCCTCTCCCCACAGCCCCTTTGCTGGACCTGGGCAAGAAGCTGAGCGTGCCCCAGGACTTAATGATGGAGGAGCTATCCCTACGCAACAACCGAGGATCCCTCCTCTTCCAGAAGAGACAGCGCCGTGTGCAGAAATTCACCTTTGAGCTTGCTGCCAGCCAGCGGGAGGTAAGACGGCATTGTGCTCAAAGGGGAAACTAAAGCCCAGAGAAGGCCAGTGGTTTGCCTAAAACCAAATAGCCAGGAGAGGACCTCTGGCACCTGGGCAGTCCCTCAAGCTCCAGCAAGAGAAGGCTGTGACGTTCCCACCAGACTGATGCCCTGCCTTGCAGTGTGAGCCTAGAAGTTTTGCATCTTCAATGCACATCTCTTTCCCAAAGCAAAATATAACATGGAGTGGGCAGGGGGAGCTGTAGAGTGAAGGGGCTCCAGCTCCTACAAATAGTGCTGAAAAATGGTCATGTGTGCTGGGCTGAATTTGCAACAAGCTACATTTAGATTCAACCTAATCTAAGATGGAAAATACAGAATGCCTCTTTCTCTGCTTCCCACTGGTAGAAGGACAAGATAGCAGCCCAGGCAGCTGGTAGAGAAAGGAGGCAAAGATGCTTATTCTCAGGCTTCAAAAAGGTAGCGGGCAGTTTTGGCCACCCTAATGAACACAGGGCAGCTTATCTGTGCTCCACCCAATTTCTGGATGAGACAGAAGGCAACTGAGCACTTAAGCACTTAAATGTTATCAGCTCATTTATCGCTCAAAAAGTGAGATTATCATCATTATCTCCATTTCACAGAGAGGGAAACTGAGGCTTAGGGAGGTTATTTGCCCAGGGTTAATATTATAGTAGCAACTACTCTGTCTTGGGCACTCAATTTAGGGCATTGCATGATTCACTCATACCCTCCTCCACAATATCTCCAGGAGGTGGGTGCTAGGATTGTGTGCCCCCCTTGTTTATGGAGGGTGATCCCTGACCCCTTGCCCATCCCTCATTCCCACTCCCCGACAGTGGCTAGAAGAGCACCTAGGAGACAGTGACTTAGAACTGGGGAACCAGGGACAGTGAGCATTGAGGGAGACCCAACAGGAGGGGACGCTGGGTGACAGGGTCTGGCAATATCAAGGCTATCCATTGCCCAGGTTGCCATGAGCCCGGAGTTGCAGAACTGCCGCTCAGAGCTCCACATCTTCCCAGCCGGGGACCCTGAGGACGCCCAGCCTGAAGCTTCCCGGGTACAGCGCAGCCCTAGCCCCAGCGCCCTGGCACCAGGTGAGTGGCCTCCCCAATTTGGACCAAAGAGGAAGGGCAGGGGTATGGGGTAGAAATCAGAGCGTGGGCATGCTGCTCCACAATGGGGTAGGAAGAGAACCCAGAGCATCTAGTCCAATCCACCCCCTTCCCTATCCAAACACACACACACCCCTCCATGGACCTAACCCAGGAGGTGCAGCAATGCACCCCAGATCACACAGCAAGTCAAGATTAGAAGATGAACCTCAACTGGTAATTGCCCTACACCAATCCTCCTTGTTTCCAGGGATGGGGAAGGTTACCTTTTGAGGGAACAACTTTTGGCATCACCCTCCCTGCGACATCCCACACACACTCCCCTTTCCCAGCTTTGGTCTTCCCTCCCCCAACCCTTTCTGAGGTGGGTGTGGGTGTGGGTGCCCAAGGGAGAAAGGAACCCACATGCCCTGCTCACCTCCAGGCTATGCCGAGCCACTCAAGAGCATCCCGCCAGAGAAGTTCAACCACACAGTCATCCCCAAGGGCTACCACTGCCCATGGCAGCAGTTTGTCAGCTACCGGGACTTCCAGAGCGATGGCCGAAGTCACACTCCCAGCCCTGCGCAGTATCGAAATTTCAACAAGTAAGGCAGGGTGGGCAGCTTGGGGAGAGCGGGAGGGGGCACAGATGCCAGTTGTAATCACAGCAGTAGCTGAATTTCCTGAGCACTTTCTACACGCCAAGCTGTAGAATGTTAGAACACGTCATAAACATTCACTGAGCTCTTGCTAGAACTGAATAGAACTCTTGCCTCAGCACATAGTAGGTCCTTAATAAATGTACAGGGAATGTGCTACACATCTCATTGGATCCTCCCCACAACGGGGTGCGGCTGGTGCTACAGTTTTCCCTATTCTGCCTGTGAAGAGACCTGCTCAGAAATATCAGCAATCGGCCTGAAGTCCCAAAACAAGGACGCGCAGGGCAGGGCTGAGGTCCAAGTCTGGGCTGACTCCAGAGCTTGGTTTCTTGTTCTCCATCACTGCTGTGTGCCACCTCTTTGGCGCGTCCTTCCTGGGTGGGGTCCCTAGATCTCACCAGTCCTACATAGCTCAGCCTGTTCCTCATTTTCATCAATGCCTAGGAAGTGGCTTTGAGGCTGCACCAAAGCAGGGAGGAGCAGTGAGACATTGGACACTAGAAATGAGGGTCACAGAGGAGTGGTTTGTACTGTTTACAGCATGGGGCCTCAACATGGGCTTAAATGCAGACTCCTTACCTGGCTGTAAGACCTCGGGAAAGTGACTTAACCTCTCTGAGCCTCCATTTCCCTATCTGTAAAATGAGACTATTATTGCACCTACATCATAAGATTGTTATGAGGATAGCACAAGAAGCCATAGGCAACGTTTCTGGCAAGCAATAAGCTCTCAATAAACAAGAGCTGCTATTATTATCATTATTATTTATAGGTTGAAATGATAGTTGGAAAAGTTAATGGGGAATAAAAGGATATATTTAACATTCTGCCCGAAGGGCTCAGAAACAAATCATAGGGATCAAGACAGGAGCTTGGCACTGGAGGAAGACCTTGGGCTAGGGGATGGATTTCAATTGCAATTGGCTTCCTCAGACTGATGCTATTTCTGAAAAATGCTCCTCTGGCTTGGACCACAGTAAGTGTGAAAGTGGAGGGTCTGGAGAGAGGAGGCCCCAGTCCAGCTCTTCTGGCATCTGCTCAGACCACACGTGGAGACTATGTCTGACAAAAATTGATGGGTGGTGCCAGGGCCTGGAGACCAGGCCCTCTGAGGGAGAGCTGAAGGAACTGGGGGTGATGAGCTTTGAGAGGAGACTGCTGAGGCGACATGTGACTGCTCTCAAAGTCAGGGAGGGCCTTGATGGAAAGAATTCTACCAAACCGGTGCTGTGTGAGCCACAAGCCGTTGGCAGATGTTCTGGGGTCTCTCGCCAGCCAGGCCTGTGCTCTCTCACCTCCTGGGGCCGTCAGACCCTGCCTGCCCAGCTATTTAAAACCCTCAGTAGACATTCAGTCCTGACAGCCAGCTTCCCGGCTGGCCAGCTCAGGTTGCAGCCGCATCCATCTAAACCTCCGGTATGAAAGACAGGCACATTCTCACCAGCAGCAGGGTCTTAGGGAGCCCTGAACCCGGGTCCTTCTGGGACAGAAGGACCAACTGAGAAAGACTGAAGAGGAACAGCAGTGTTGGTGGCCAAGCTATGCCCAGGAGCCAGGTCTCTGGGCTCCTAGTCAAGGGCCCAGTTGTGAGGCTTGCATTGGCTTAGAAACATCCCAGCCTGTCCCCCAGGAGGCCTAGCTGTTGCTGCCACAGCTGGGGTAGTCTAAGCAGAAACCCAGTCATGGCTGGAACCCAGGCACTAGTCCAAGTTTTGCCTTTCCACCCTAAGGGCAAGCACTCTCTTCTTCCCATTGTGCCCAGCCTGTGGAGAAAACAGCACATGATCAATGCTTTTTATTTCTCTTAGAATTAAATAGTTTTCAAGTCACTTACTTACATTCTCTTAAAAACTAATTACGCAACTACAAAAGAAGGGTTCCTTTGTTTATTGTCCTCAATCCCAAAGGTAACAAACACTGTTGTCAAGTTGGTGTGTAAGTTTTCAGAACATTTTCTAAGGGCAGCCACATACCTATAGGGGATATAGCCTTGTTGTATGTGTATACATGTTTTAATACTTTGAATTTCTTTTTGTAACTTCTTGTTTTCACTCAACATTATGCTTTTAAAATCTACCCTACTTTATATTGATCTTTTCATTCCTTTTGAGCTACTGTATAATATTCCATCATGTGACTACACTATCTCTGTTGTGTCCGTTCCTCTGCCAATGGACCCTGGGTTGTTTATGGCTTGTCACTAATCCCTGCTCATATCTGCTTCCTTGTGCGTATGTGCATGTGCTTCCCGAAGCCATATGCTTACAGGTAGAGTTGCTGGTGGCAGAATTTGCATATTTCCGGATTAAAATGATCCTGCTAAACTATCCTCCGAGGGAGTAGCACCAGTGTGCCCTCCAAACAGTAGTATATGAGTGAAGCTCTGCCCCGTTATCCAGTCATTTCTTCTTGCCAGTCTTATGGTTAGAAACCAGGTCTGTTGCAATCTGCACTTCCCTGACTCTCAATGCTCATCCTCCCCTTTCACTTCAGTTTGTGGCATGTTTCTCTGAGGGGAGATGAAAAGACAAAGGAAATACCCAGCTCCAACTCTGCTGCTTTCTGGAGCTTGCTTATGGGGAACCTAGAGTTCTGCTTAGGACAAGCCAATCCCAATTCTGAAAACTTGGCTCCTATTTCTAAGCAATAAGCCATCCCACCTAGGGGCAGAGCTAGAGGATCCTGTTAAAGGTAGTGCAAAACCTGCCGAAATGGTTTGGCTTAGTGGATAGAGCGTCGGCCTGCGGACTGAAAGGCCCGGGTTCGATTCCGGTCAAGGGCATGTACCTTGGTTGCAGGCACATCCCCAGTAGGGGGTGTGCAAGAGGCAGCTGATCGATGATTCTCTCTCATCCATGTTTCTAACTCTCTATCCCTCTCTCTTCCTCTCTGTAAAATATCAATTAAAAAAAAAAAAAAGGTAGTGCAAAATCTTGCTGTACAGAAGGAGAAACTGAGTCCCGGAGAGAGGCAGAGAGAGGCCCCACACAGACCTGCATGTCAGTGTGCTGCCATCTTGTTCCTTCCCAGCCCACCTCTCCTGCTGCTCTTCTTCCCCTAGGACCCCCGTGCCCTTTGGAGGACTCCTGGTGGGAGAGACCACGTCCAGGGCAAGCACCCCCTTCCTCCAAGAGCTCACCAGTGGCTTGGAACTCCTCCGCCTCAGACCCAACTTCAACAGAGTGGCCCAGGGCTGGGTCCGCAACCTCCCAGAGTCTGAGGACCTGTAACCCCAGCCTTCAGTCCCCGGTCTGAGTCTGGGGAATACCAGGAGCCAAGATTTGTGGACTGCACTTCACAGTTTACAAAGGGCCTTCACACACAAAACCTACTGCAAATGGCCTCAAAGGTCACAAAGTTTGGTAGTCCACTAATATGGGGTTTAGAAAGTTTTTCCTTTTACTGAGATGCGGTTAGTCTTTATTCATGCTCTAACATTTACCAAGCACCTACTATGTGCTAGACATTGTGAAAGCTCCATGCAGAGGAGTCCGGACCCTGACCTAGAGTAGGAAAAGGTAGTAGGGAAGACAGATGTGTAAAGCAGTAAATTATCTTAAATTTTGCCTAAAGCACCCGAGGAACAAAATGTAGTGAGACAGGGGAGGGCATCTCAAACCCTGGGTGTGTCTGGGGGAGAGGAAATCAATTACTTCCCAAAGGATCTGAACAGGACTTCAGAGGAGGAGTGAGAGTCGATTAAGGGAAGAGGGTGCGACTCCAGGGAAGGCACTGCAGGCCAGTGGACCAGCATAAGCTGGAAAGATGGAGAACTGCCATAGAGCAGGGTGTTCCAGAGAAGGAAGAGGGCTGTGTTTGAGCAGTCGGTGACTCCTTAGAACAGCAGTTGCCAACTAGTGGTCCTTGAGGTCCGAAAGGCTGGTGACTGCTGGTTTAAGGGAACCTTTGGAGCAGCGTCGCCAACCAGTGGTCTGTGGACTACTGGTGTCCGTGAGATCCGAGAGGTTGGCGACCGCTGCCTTAGAAGGCCAGGTTGGAGTAAGCTGCACCAAGAAAATGGGGAAGGTTCTTAAGCTGCACCAAGAAAATGGGGAAGGTTCTTAAGCAGGGGAGTCAGGGGTCTCAGTGGTTGTTATGTGGGCATAGATTGGAGTCAGGAAGCCTTCCAGGAACAAGGCCTGAACTAGGGAGGTGGCCATGGGGATGGAAAGAAGGGACACCTCTCTGGGCACCTTACAGGACAGGTGCAAAGTGGAGTACCTATAAAGACTCCTTCTTCCCACCTCCTGCTCACCACTCTGAGCAGGCCTTGGGTAGATCGTGCTTAGTTTCCAATAGGAGTCATTCAGGGCTCTACTCTGGCTCATTAAGAAGAAGAGAGAAAAGAACGCCTTAGTTCAAGTGGTGATGATGATGTGATGATGATGGCGGCTTTTTATTGGGTGCTGCAGGGTTCTGATCCATTTTACAGATGTGAATATCCAGGCTCAAAAGGAGAAGGAGGTTTGTCCAGGGTCAGAGCCACAATGGATACTGACCTATTCCAGTGGATGTCTTTTTGCACTGGATGGCCAACCCATTGCCCGCTCACTCTGGAATCACCTCATAACAGTGCCCTGCCTCAGAGTTTAGAGTTAAGAGTGCAGGCTGGGAAGTCAGACTGAATGGGATGGTTCTAATTGCCACTTCCAGACATTTCTATGGGCCTCTGTTTCTCACCTGTAAGATGAGGACAAGAATAGTAGCCCTTGTAAGGGGTTGTTGTAAGCACAATGATGGATACATACATAATGAGTGCTAGGTCATTACACTTCATGCAACTACTGCTCTTAACTGAACAGATGATCTTGTGGTGGATGCAGCTTGAGAAGCAGGCCTAGGATGAGACATGAGGTCAGTAGAGCTGAAGTCTGAAGGGAAGGAAGCTTCTGGTCACTGCAGGGCTCCCTTGGCCCATGAATCACCTCTTCACCTCTTGCCCTTGTTCCATCGCCTCTCCCCCACCCCATTTCTCTTGAGGAGATGAGAAGGCCAGGAATCCATCTGGTTCCCAGGGCACGTGGGATAGCGGTTGCCTTTTCCTTTTGTCTGGACTTTCCCTGTGTCCCACACGGTCTCCAGTGGCAGCAGCCTGACTTTTAGAATTGCTTGCAATCAATGTGCCTTGAATTTGGGCACTGCTGTTTAAAGCCACGCTTCCATGAGATGAAAACGAACCACTAAAGTGTCCTAAACAAAGCAGAGGATTAGGACCACCTTGGGCTGGCTCTGCTGTGCTCTGGAGGGTAACAGCAGCCACCAGAGCACAGCTGACAAGAGCCTGGTGGGGAGCCTGCCACACCCAAAGCAAATCTCATTCCTTTCTTCTTTTGATAATATGCCTTTCACTGATGTTGTTTAAAAAAAAAGAGAGAGAAAATTCTTACTGTAAAGATTTATATACAAATAAAGGAAGAAGTAAAATGTGAAGGTAAAATCAGCCCACATAGCTCCTCCCCTGCAACACAGATCTTCCCGCCCTCCTGCACTCTGCCCCATTCCCACATACCATAGGTAACCACTGGCAGAAGCTAATTCTAATACTAGAATTCTAGCATTATTTGAACAGCTAAATATGTACAGTGTATAGTTGCATAAGTGCAAAGATATGTTTTTGTTTTCATGGGATCATACTGTATTATATTGTGTTTTGCTTCTTTTTTCAACAATAAGTAAAATGTGGATCCTGAAAAAGCCATGTCATTAACCTTTGATGTAATTTGGGGGCCCAACAAACCATCCATATAAAACTCTATACTTTTGCCTGTTTTGTTCTTTATGCAAATGAAATCACATAGTGATTTGGAAATGAAAAGGACCGAGAACAGCCGCAGCACTGGGAACCTGGCATGAGACATAGCAGCCCTGAACATAAATGAACTACAGTTCCATGCGGCAATACAGAGGCATCTCAGAAACAAAATGGCAAGCAAAGGGAGACAGGTCCATATGTATATGTTAGCAATGCAATCCAGTGTTAAAGTCGGGGTAGTGGTAACTTTGGAGGAAAGAAAGGGTTGTGCTTGTGAGAGGACAAACTTCTAAGAGAGCTGGACATTTTCTATTTCTGTGATTGTGACACAGACATTGACTTTAAAATACTTAATTTAGTTGTAAATTTGTGTTTTATGCACTTTTTCTGTACATTTGTTATATTTTACTAAAATAATTCCTCCTTTTAAAAAAGTTAATAGATTACCAGCAGATTAGATGAACATGAAAAATTAGTGAACTAAAATCAGCATTAATATACTTCAAGAGTTTGCAAACCCTCACAATGGGATGAAATGGACAAATTCTTAGAAAAATACAATATCCCAAATCAAATCAGGAATTATCAGAAACCCTAATAGGCCAATAACAACTGATGGAACAGAAGCAGTAATCAAAAACATCCCAGCAAACAAAAGCCCTGGTCCGGATGCATTTACAGAGGAGTTTTACCAAACATTCAAAAAAGAACTATTACCTATCCTCCTCAAACTATCCCAAAAAATCCAAGAGAAGGGAACACTTCTAAGCTCTTTTTATGAGACCAGAATTATCCTAATCCCAAAACCAAATAAAAACACTACACAAAGAAAGAGAATTACAGGCCAATATCACTAATGAACATACTATAGATGCTAAAATCCTCAACAAATATTAGCAAATTGGATCTAGCAATATATTAAAAAGATCATACACCAGGACCAAAGGGGATTTATTCCAGGATGCAAGGCTGGTACAATATTTACAAGTCAATAAACGTGATACATCACATGAACAAATTGAAAGACAAAAAATCACATGATCATATCAATAGATGCAGAAAAAGCACTCAACAAAACCCAACACCCATTTTTTATAAAATCGCTCAGCATAGTAGGCATAGAGGGAGCTTATCTTATTATAACAAAGGCCATATATGACAAATCTACAGCAAACATCATACTCAATGGGCAAAAAAACAATTTCCCCTAAGAATAGGAACAAGAGAGGGATGTCTGTTTTCACCACTCTTATTCAACATAGTTCTAGAAGTTCTAGCCACAGCTATCAGATAAGAAATAATAAAAGGCACCCAAATTGGAAAAGAGGAAGTAAAACTCTCATTATTCACTGATGACATGATATTGTATATATAGAAAACCCCAAAGACTCCACCAAAAAACTACTATATTTAATAAATGAATTTGTCAATGTAGCAGGATACAAAATCAACACCCAAAAATTGATAGTTTTTTTTAATACACCAATAATGAAATCTCAGAAAGAGAAATTAAACAAACAATCCCATTTACCATTGCAACAAAAAAATTAAGATACTTAGGAATTAACTTAACCAAAAAGGTAAAATACTTGTACTAGAAAAACTATAGGACTTCGTTGAAAAGAGATAGAGGAAGATATAAATAAGTGTAAGAATATATGATGTTCATAGATTGTTAGAATTAACATCATTAAAGTGTCCATACTACCCAAGGCAATCTACAGATTCTATGCAATCCCTATTAAAATATCCATAACATATCTCACAGATCTAGAACAAATGCTCCAAAAATTTATATGGAACCAAAAAAGATCCTGAATAGCTGCAGCAGTCTTGAGAAAGAACAAAGTTGGAGGAATCACAACACCAGATAATCAAGTTTTACTATAAAGCCACCATAATCAAAACAGCCTGGTACTGGCATCTATTATAATAAAAACATAATATGCTAATTAGATTGATATCCTTCTAGACATCCTTCTAGACAAAGCCACAGTGGCGGACAAAGCACTGAGGCAGAGGCAGCTGCCACAACGGGAGAGGGCCGAGCCCCTTGCACAGATTTTGTCTATATAATAAAAGTCTATATATTATAATAAAAACCTAAGCAACCCTTATGGCAGAACAATCAGAAGGACTGGTCACTATGATGTGCACTGACCACCAAGGGGCAGATGCTCAACGCAGGAGCTGCCCCCTGGTGGTCAGTGCACTCCCACAGGGGAAGCACCGCTCAGCCAGAAGCCTTGCTCACAGCTGGTGAGCCCAGTGGTGGCGGCAGGAGCCTCTCCAGCCTCTGCAGCAGCTCTAAGGAGCATCAAGCAGGCGGTAAGGAACAAGGAGTTCCAGATTGCGAGAGGGATGTCCGACTGCCAGCTTAGGTCAGCTACCCCCAGAAAGAGACCCCAGAAATCGGCCCAAGGCATTATGCTTAATTAATATTTGACAAAGGAGGCAAGAATATACAATGAAGTCAAG